ATTCAATGCACTGGGTGCTGAATGTTCTGAGATCTCACTTGGGAAACTTGAAAAAGAGAAAATGCCAGAAAGGAAGAAAATTGCACACTTGGCTTTCCCTTCCTCCCCGTCACCCACCTCCCCCCATCCCCATCCACACACAGCCTGACCTAGATGGTTCTCCTTTTTATTTCAAAACTGAGAAGTTCTTGTGTGTGTGTGTGTGTGTGTGTGTGTGTGTGTGTGTGTGTGTGTGTTTAATGAAGGAAGGCAGCTAGTAAAGAGAACAGAACACATTTTTATGGTACTTCCTCATAGATTAAGCAGATCACATAGAACACGTACTTTTTATGTAACCCTGTAGGTTCAGAAGAGAATTTTGAAACCGAACAATACAGAAAGGCAAAATTATTAAATCTACAAACAGCCTGCTCCATTAACCACTAGGTTGCATCACTATCTGAAATAAAAGCAATTTTTGGGTTGTCTATGGGTTTATCCTCTTCCTCACACACACACCTATGATGCTAACCTCTCTTGTGTAAAACCAGTTTATAATTGGTTCAGGCTGGTAAGTTGGGCTATTAATATTGAGGCAGATGTTGTTATTTGCCTACCATATATTCTTTCTCTATATTATTATGGGAACTTAATTTTCTTTGAAATATGCTTGAATCCAATTTGAAAGCTACATTTCCCCAGCATCCTCATTGCTCCCATGAATAGGCATATAATAATTCTAGCCAATGAGATATAGGAAGACGTGTGCTAAGGATTTATGAAAAATTTGCTTATCTGACAGAGGCACTTCCCCTTTCTCTTTGTCCCTTCTTGGATCCAACCTGACATACAGAAGTGATACGAGATTAGCTGAATGCTATGATCAGAATGGGTTCTGAAATTATCCCTTTCATATTCATATAGATCAGCCACTTTTCTCATAGCACTCAGAACTGCTGCAATATAGGACACTTTATTTAAAATGGAAAAGAGAACTGAATCCTAGGTACTATAATGTAAAAATTTGAAAATCTATACTAAAGTTTCTCTGGTCTCTGTGAGTAGAAGAAAAAGTATGTGGTCTCACTTCAAAATGCAAAATATAATCAGTCATACTATGAGCACAAAGATGGATTTGCTTCTCCAACACATACACTAATTAAATCCTCTCAGTTCTCTAATTTCGTCTTAAAAATTGATAATTGCCCCCCCCAAAAAAAAAAGAATATATTTTTTAAAAGATGCTTCAACTGCAAAGATAAAAGTTAGGCAAAAACAGCTTGGTGACCACCAAAATGCATGCTCCCTTCTAAGAAGTGGCTACCCCGCTAGGGGTATTTCTCAGCTTTCCACTGCATGTAGTGGGACTAGGTGACTATTTCTCACCATTGCCGTGTAAACTGGTCTTGTGTGTCACTTGAGGGCTGCAGAGATAGGTGTAACTCTTCAGATCTCTTTTTCCATCTGTCAGCTGACTCTGAGTATCTAGAAGTGGGAGGAGCCACAAGACCGAAGGATATTGAATTCACAAGTGATTGCATGGAAGGCCACCTGCCAATTAGGAACAACAATACAGAGCTGTTCATGAGTAAGAAATACAGTTTCATTGTGCTAAGTTACCAAGACTTTTGGGGTGAACATGTTGCTGAAGCTAGTGTTACTCTAATTAATATAAAGGCAAAAAATAAAAAGCTCACATTTTACTGAGTTAAACCTAAAATAACTGAAAAAGTGCTAAAGTCATTTAGTGGGCTCAGAAATAATTAAATGAAATCTGCTGTGAGATAAAAATGAGATAATATCAAAATTAAATTAATTTGTAAGAAAATAAAGAAAGTTACCTTTTGTTCTACCTTGAGTTTACCATTTATAAAATCTATACCTGCCAGTTACTAAATATCTTTTAATGCTTCAGGACTCGGTTAGACTGGGCACAGTCTGATTTCTGCAAACAATTTCCCTTATTTATTTCTCTAAGAAAATAAAATGAATATGATGTTTCGTGTGTTTTTTCTGTGAAGTAAAGCCTAGTACAATATGCAATTGATTTTGAATAGTTTATTTCAAGGTAATTCTGATTTAGGTTCAGAAGTCAATTATCTTTCATAGAAAAGTTATGTTTAATAGAAGCTAAGAAGGCCATTATTTTTTCCTCTAAAATTAGAGAATTTCTATTGCAGTATATCCAGGAACCCTCTACAAGGCTAAGGTGAAGTTTTTGGATAAAGGTGCTATCATGTTCCAGGTCCTTGCAAAGACATCAGTGTTATTCTTTATCCCAGTGTGACAAATAGTTTCTGGTCTAGAAAGGCATTCTTGTAACTGGCTTGTGAGAATTTATAAAGCCCTCCTATGGACCAGCCAGGAAGAGCCACATACTTTTCAGTCTAGCTCATTCCAGCAAGATAACAAAGAGAACAGAAAAAAACGCAGTAAACGTCTCTTTTCTAAATTAGTGAGATGCCATTTTACTCAGGACTTGCAGAGATTCCAAGGGTTGGAGCTTTAATTCAGCATCCATCTATTCTTCCACCTTCAAAATCTTTTCAGAAAAAAATTACTTTAGACAATATTATTTTTGTGCAGTGAATACGGGGTGAAATGGAGCACAGAAATATTTTCTCATTTTCATTCTGAAATGTCTATCTACAGTTTTATCTTTGCATCTATTTGACTACAGTGTAGTTATAAAGCCATCTGTTATCTAATTAACATTCTATTGTAAAATTAGGATAATTTTTTCCATAGAAGCCTCATATATAAAATGAGGAGCCATTTTGTTCTTTTGGAAAATAAATCAGCTTAGACTAACCAATGATGCAGTATGTTTTAGGATTTTACCAGTAACCAAAATTATAGGCTAAGGGAGCATGGATATGGGGGAAATACCTCCTTTGCCTTACAAACAAGATCCCAGCTTTATTTGGGGGTGGCGATGGGCTCAGCCCAAAACACAGTTATTCCAGGTTCCTTTGCTGGAGAGCATGGGCATTTTTTATAGTTATGACCTATAAGATGTAAGTTAAAATCTCTAGGTGGTCTGGGAAAGCTGATTCAGCTGGCACATGCGTGGAATGTAGTCAGGATTCTGGCAATGAGGCAGCCATCTTGGGACCATGGGGCAACAAATAGTAGGACAAGAGCCACAGGCTAAGGATGGTTGAGAGGAAGAAAAATGAGCTTAGACCCCTGAGGACTATGGATCTGTTAGTCCTATCTTCAGACTTAATGTCACATGAGAAAAACAAACCTCTATTGGTTAAGCTAGTGAACGTTGGATTATTTCCTATGAGCAGCGAAGCCAAACTTATACCAAGTTGATCCAATTAGGAAAAGGTTTCAAAAAATTGTATAGGAACAGTTTCCAAATATTTCAGAAGCATTCATTTACTTTGGCAATTATTAAACTGATATATATCAATGAAACATTTTTATACGCTTCTTAAAATAACTCCTCCAAAGAACTCTACTAAGCTGTGCTATATGCAGTTCCTATGCATGGACATATTATAAATGCTTTTCATCCCTCCATTTATTTATTCACCGAACATTTATTAAGGCCTCGGTAAACACTGTAGTTAGGGGCAGGGATATGAGGATAAAAAATGCAGTGCCTGACTACAAGGAGCTCAGTTTATTTGAAAGAACTAGGACAGAATATTTTTAAAACACTGTTTTCCAGTTCTTTGCCTTCTATGGGTTGTTTATTTCACATACATTGGCCCTCTAAGAGATGGACGAGCCTAGCACCACAATTAACATTAAAAATATAAAAGCATCTGAACTACCAGCATGTTCTACATAGCTTAATGTTCATAATGCGATTTCATCATTTGAAAATTTAATTAAATGTTGCACCAGTATGTTCATTATAGTTGTGAAAAATAATTGAAGAAAGTTTCTCATACCAATCACTATACAACTTGTTTTTCCAAAATCAGACTACTACTAAAAGTAGATATTTAGTGCCATTCCATTTTGTTTTCTGTCATTTCTATTACTAAAAAAAAATCACTGTATATCAAGTCTTTAGTCTAATATCAAAGGACAATTATTCACTGTAGTATGATGATAAAATACCAGGTTAGTATCAGGAAAATCATGTTCATCTGACCTCGTCCTCTGTGTCAGTTAAGAACTTCATTTAACTTCTTTCTCCCTCAGTTTCCTTATGAGTTAAATGACAAGTTAGAATTAGATCGCAGTGCTCTTTGGTAGACCTAAATTCTCTTATTTCCTTGCTCTATTCTCAGTGTGATGCATTAGCAGACAGGTTTCCCAGCTAAGAGAAAAACCTTAGGATTATTTTTAAATGATGCATGCTTTCTCTATTTCTGTTACCTCAGGATTACACATCTTAGCCCATATCGCAAATCAAACCACAATTCTATATATAATTAAACAATGTCATCTTAATAATACTATATCACTGTACTCAGAATCAAAACAGAAGATCAGTTTTATTATTTCTAGCTTTTAAGAACATAATTTGTATTGCATACATTTGAGATAATTGAATGAAAATTAGATGGACAGTACATTGTTTTCAATCTGCTGTTTAAAGTAACCCCTACACATCTAGGCATGAATCTATTATTGCAAAAATTATCTCAAAACACACTGATTCCCTTACTCCATTCTGAGAAATTGTTTTCAAAGTCTAAAAGCAGATTTATTTTATGCAAAATCTGAATGCCAAAATTCAGATCTTATTTTTTAAAATAGACAACGGAAGTAATTAATTAACATATCTGACATTTATCTGCAAACTGCCATCACAGGTACTTGCTTTTCTCATCGCTTGCATGAAAATTTCAGAAGTTGAAATACATTAAGTACAACTAGTTTCACCAACCACATTCTGAATTTAATACACAAGAGTAAAAATGCTATCATCTTTCTTGCAACAAAATGCTTAAGAAACATGAGCACTCTTTTACAGATCCTTTAGTTATCATCCTACAAAAAAACTCTTAATCCCCACTATCTCATGGCATATGCACATATTCCCCTCTACTCACCACAATGAGTTAAAGTTGACAAAAGCTCTCGGTGGAAGTCTTTGAGTTCTCACTCTGCTTTACCATTTCCTTCGTTTTAGATGTCATGGCACAGGACTGTACAGACAGCAATTCATTCTATTACGTTTACTGCAAACACCAAAAGAGGTATCTTGCACTTGCTGGATGATTTAGCTTTTATGCTTCTGGTCATTCTTTCAAAAAGAATGAGACCAGTTTCTGAGCTATTCTTAACTCTCTTTCCAAAACATTTCAAAAGAGAAAGACAAGAAAGACTTCATGATTTCCATGCAAACTCCCAGCCTGCCCGCCTGCCTGCTGCTGCCAATACTTCTTACTCTTGCTGGTGATGACATTCAGCGAGCTCCCCAGCACTGATGCTGCGTTATGTAAGGCTGTCTAGGTCAAGTGTAGGAGACACACTGCTGGCCTGTGGAAACTCATGGAACTGTTTCTTCAGATTAACACTTCAGGGACTATGGAAGCTGGAGGAAGCTGAGCTTTCACTACATCTTTTGGGGGTAAATATTTTTGCATGTTGCAATGGTTTATATACTATAGTCTTGGCAGATGCCTGTCAGCCATGCTGAGAGGTGCAGGGAAAATTACTAAGAGATTCCAGTTCTGTCAGCATGCTTGAATAAGCATAGTAAGTCTTCCAGCAATCCTAGCTTTAAGACACTTGTGCAGTAAATAAATCATAAATTAGAATTTGCTTATCAAGCATCATTTCTAACCATTGAGGCATGCATGTTGATTTGATGTTTAAACTCTGACTACAATCTGTTTGATCAGAGGTGTTATAGGAGAGCATCATTAGATGTGGCTATTAGCTCAAAGAGATTTACTGCAGTTCTTGGCTGTTACATTGCCCTTGTATCTGACTGCAAGTTTGCTTTTCTTGTAAATGAGCTATACATCTGCATGTATTTGTCTTCTGTTGTGATTGTTTGTGATAATATAGGAATGGAGTCTACATAACCTGGCAGTTATATGACTTCAACAAATAATGAATCCTGCCTACTTAGTTCCAAGGTGAAAACTGCAGTAAACGCACCATTTGCTGCTAGCCCTGAATGAGGGTGGGTTAACTGCATTGGCTCAAACAGTGCTGTGTTTAGGAGATTTGAAGAGATGAGCCCAGGTTTGACATGAACAGTTGTTCACTCTGAGTAAAAGTAGAAACGGTATAGCACTGATTTTGTTTTAGACTCTCACACCGTGTCCTGCTACAGGAATTAGTTAAAATAGCAGGCTCATACTGAATGCTGCAGAGAAGCCTGGGGAAGTGGCAGAGTTAGATTGCCGCAGCAGTGTGATATTGGCAAGGAATTTTAATAAGATTTAACCAGAGATGATGTTACAACAGATGGCACCTAATCTAAAAGATAGATGGATATTTGAAAAGTTAAAGGCAAATGCAGCACATTTGAGAGGGTTTGACTTCTTATGTGCCCTTGGCCATTGAAGTTCAGTACCTTGGACAGGATGATATGAGGAAAATAAAGGCTGTATAAACTATCTACCTGATCTCAAAGAGCTAAATGGAAAGTTGACTATTCAGTCATTTGATTGGATGTCTTTAAATGAGGACTGGCATGAAGTGGTTTAATTAAAGCACACTCTCCAAGAAAACAGGTAGTTTTAAAGGATCTGAAATTTCTTGCATTTTAAAAATCAAACTAAGGAAATGAAAATGATGTTGCTGAAATGAATTTCCCTGGGGGCACTTTTCACTCTATTAACTATGATTATCAGCAGCATATTGATTATTTATGATGGAAATATACTACTTATAATTTTATGCTATATTTAATTGACTAAACTTGTACATGTTTACCAAATAATTTGAAGAGACAGTTATGGTCACTCAGAACCTGATGTGATATTACTGATGTCAATAGCCATTTTCCCCACAGACACAACTTGGCATAAGAGCCCCAGCAGACCAGGTTTTACTCTGTTTGGAATTTAGACCACTCTTCATAAGTGTATTGTTAGAAATGATGTGCACATACCTAATTGTACTTACAGCCTTTGAGTTTATATATCTTTAGGATAACAATGTCAGTATTTAAATTGTCTACAATTGATTTTCATTTAAAAGTGTTTCTATTGACTATTAATAAAAGGGACTTTTCTTTGAGTTAATAACTTTAAAAGATATTAATTTCTTCACTTTTAAAGTGGGAAATTTGAATCAAATAAGATGTACATTTGTTTTGGCTCTGCCATCTGTATTCCTCTAAGTGTGAATTAGCATTATTAATTACTCTATGGTAAAGTGAGTTTACATTTTTTGATGAGATTATATTTTTAAATACCTACAATATTAAGTCAACATTTACTAAAATTAATTACCTACAAAATGCTAGGCCAGTGTTTCTCAAAGTGTGGTCTCCTAATTAACAACATCAAAATTATCTGGGAACTTATTAGGAATGCAGAATTTCCGGCCTCATTCCAGACTTGTGAGTCAGAACCTCTAGGGGCAGGTCCTGGGAATTTGTGTCTCTCTGAGCCCTACTTATATAAAAAAAATAAAGACATATATATACTTATGTCTTACTCATGTAACCCAGTTATAAGCTGGTATCTCTTTGCTCCCTCTGGGTGATTGTGAGGCGTGCTAAAATTTGAGAACCACTATGCTGGGCGGTAACTTGGTTAAATATCAGGAAAATGGTTTTTACTATATACAATTACATATATGTTACATAATTAAATTCTCTATTTTTTCTTTGCCTAGATATTTTAATGTAAGTAGTACTACATATCAAAGATTTATGCAATTATTTAGTACATCTCAAACCTAGATAAGAAGCTCTATCTTCCAACAGTTCCATTTCAAACTATAGCTCTTAGACGTTAAATAGTGTGACGAGAAAAACACCAGAGGACTTATCTCTGTTGTTTGCTCACTGTGTGACTTAGCAACACATCACTGATCCTCTTTGATGTTCAGTTTCTCATCTGTGAAATAAGAGGTTCCTTGACCTAAGTCAGGGTTTCTCAACTCTGCTACTGACTTTTGTATCGGAGATTCTTTGCTGTGGAGACTGTCCTGTGCATTGTAGGATTCTGAGCAGCATCTTGGTCTCTACCCTGAAAGTGCCAGTAGCAATCCCCAGTTGTGATAATCAGAGATATTTCCAGACATCGACATCTGTCTGTCTCCTGAGGAAAGAATTGCTCCCGCCACATTTGAGAACCACTGACAAAGGTTAACTCCCCTATGAAAAGTTGTGTTAAACTAAATAATGCAACAAATGTTGCATATTTCTCCTTCTGGAAGCAGGCAGTTTAAAAATTACAAATAAATAAATATATGTCTTACCTAACCCAGGTATAAGCTGGGATCTCTTTGCTCCTTTGAATTTGTAGGTGTGATTTGCTCAAATATTTACCAATTCCACTGTCAGTTTATGTCCCAAACCCTTCTTGCAACTTCTGAAGGATTTGACATCTTATATCATCCTCTGTGTCTTAGAGTCCTGGATCCATGTATACTTCCTCGCCATTCTCCCATGTGACCCAAATTCCATCTGTCACTAGATTTAATACTTTTCATTAAAGATGTGGGCTTCTCCCCCTCATTCTCTCTCCTCCTTCCCCTGTTTCTGCTCCTCATTACCTCCCCTTAAGACCCGAGCATGCCAAATTCTTCTCCTCTTAGTACACAGAGTCATCCAGCTTTCCACAGCTCTTCTATCCAGATGCAGACATGCCCAAACTCATCAAAGAGTTTAGACGATGGCAAGCCTTCAATTTAGGACCACCCACTCTTCACAGAAGGCAGAGAAACAGCATATACTCATGAAACCATTAAAAAAAGGGCTGGAAGAAATATTTAACTTCATTTTTAAATCTATGGAAGTCATACTAATGATTGCTCTTGGCCCTTAAAATTACACGTGTGAAACGCTAGAGTCTCAGAATTTTAAATGACATCTTTACATGAATTTTTACCTTAGACCTCAGACCTTTACCTTAGCAATTCAGTCTGGACATTTCTGGAACTCATATGCCTGGTAAAATCAGACAAGCTGCACACACACACGTACACACACACACACGCACACTTTTTTCTAAGAGTTAAATATTATTTTCAGTATACTGTCCTACAAATTCAAATTAAGTATTATTCTAAAATATCTATGAATTAAGCAACTTAATCTAAGATATAGGTCCCTATATTTCTATTAATCAAACAACAATAGTAGCTTATATTTGAATGATTATATCTGTATTTCCAAGTAATTGTATAGATATGATCCTTTCTGACTCATAGAAACCCTAGTTCCCATTACTTTTATCATCTTACAATAAGAAAATAAAGCTCAAGACCTCCACATGTCAAATCCACTTCTCTTTCCACTATTCTACAAGGCAAGAATCAATAATGTACATAGTTTGAACACATTGGTGAGTATCACTTCTAAGTGATTTTTGATAGTGACCTATCTCAAGAGTCTTCCTGTGCTAATTCCTTCAGAGTATATAATGGCTGATCTATGTTACTAATGCTTTGCTTTAATTCCTAGATTAATGCATTGTCCCTGACCTACCACACATTTATTTATATAACATGAATAATTGATTGTTTAATATGTGCTACCGAAGTTCTTATGGAATGACTTCAACACACCATTTATTATACTAGTTGGAGTCCCATATATTATTGCTCTCAAAAACTCCATGAGGATGGGATTATTTCCCTCCTAAGAGATAAGAAATTGGATTCAATTTACCTAAACCTGAGTATTAGCAGAGTTACCACATTGGCCCCAAAGGGACCACATAGCAACAGACCACCTCTTTTCACTGGTACACCCTAGTGTGTGGCCCATAGAGAGTCTGAGTAATTGTTCATTGAAGAAATACTGAATTATTGGCATGGCCACCTAGTTCCTTTATATTTTGGACTTTACCTCATACCGTTATTCACTCTAGTCAATGAAGTAGCAATTTTCACATGAGACCTAGAAGAAGAAAAAATCAAATTCTGCTGAAAGGAAGAGGCACATTTGTTTATGGCTGCAGTACCTTGGAACTCTTTGCAACTCTCAATTGCTATTGCTACTGTCTTTATTTCACTCCAGAAAATCCTTTTGGGTTAGATGCAGAAACAGTCTCAGGCTTAAA